CATCCTCTCTGTGAAACGGAGCCAGTTATTTTAAATCTGGCTTTGAATTAATTTTTGAAACCAGTATCTCCGTGGTTTCAACTTGTTTCTAACAGATGCTGAGCTGAATTTGATGACATCATGGTCATTTTGCTTGGTGGATTTATTTGGTGTGAGGAGAGAAACTCCTGACGGCTTCTTCTCAGGCAGAGTTTGTGTCTGTCAAGTGCGCTGGGCCAGACCAAGCAGCTCTGGAGCTCTAGGCTCACTCTGCTGAGCAGTGGGGAAAACCCTGCTGCCAGCTTTTCCAAGACAAAATGAGGCAGTGGCAAAACATGCCTGGCTTGGGCTGCTTGTGTGTGTGGTTTTTCTTAGTGGGTGATTAATCCGCAGATCTGCCTTCCATGGACAGGGGGTGAGTGTGCCTAGGGCTAGACCCTGCTAGCTGCAGATCAGGGTCACAGTGTACTTGAGGGGAACCGTAATACAGCTCCACAGCGGTTACCTGCATGGAGCTGGATACAGGTACCTTGCAATCCTGTGTCTGCCACCTACTAGCTGTATGAATGTGGATACACCTCACTAAGTCTCCATTTCCTCATCTTTGAAAGAGTTATAATAGAACCCTGATGTGCTTGTCCCCAGGATTTAATGAGATAATGCTATGAGGCTCACAGTCAGTAGTGACCCTAGCCAGTGTTGCTAATGCCCCAGGGAGCTCAGAGAGCCTGACTGAGGAGTAAGGCTCTGTGTTGCCATCTGGTGGTGACATGTAGCATGGCAGCCTGGTGTAGGTAAGAAAATTGCTTTTGGGTTTTATTGTTTTCTTGATGACCTCCAAGAAAATCCCTTCAAATTAAGCAGGAGGAGAGGGAAAAACCTGGTGACTCTGGGAGCATCATTGTGTTTCCTTGTAGAGAAGGTGAGCAGGAGAGGTTTTGGCAGGCTTCCTTGGCTGTGATGTGAGGTTGCTGGCAGGACTGGATGGAGGTGGTGGCCACAGAGATGGAGGCAGCTGGGTGAGACGGGAGTGGGGCTGCTCCTCCTGGATGTTCGCCTTGGTCGTGGCTGGTGTTCCTGGACTTCTTCTGAACCTCCCTGGTATTCTGTTTTTCTGGCCACAGCAGCCTCTGCCTCTGCCAGTCTGTCTCATCAGTAACGCAAGGCATGGACCAGCCAAAGCAGAGATGAAAGCAGCAGGTTTTCTGTCACTTGATAAAACTTGAGATTTGCTCTGAGGCCTCTCGGGACTCACAGAGGTCCTGTCAGGGTCCCTTCCGCTAAGCCCGGGGGAAGAGTCTGCTGTGTTCTAGCACGGTGTTTAGAACGATACATAATTTCACACGGTAGCTTTGCCTCCCCTGTGGACTATGAATTTCTGTTCCTGAGGATGAGGGACCACAGCTGGCCAAACCTCTGTTCCCCACGGTGCTCAACAAATATAAAGGAAGCGTGTTCTCCACAAACACCTTAAGACCTTGATATGGATACATGAATCAGTTGTATTGGAGTACAGTAGTTGTCTGTCCCTTATCTGTGTTTTCGGTTCACTAATTTCAGGTACTGTGGTGAGTCTCAGCCAAAAAGTACCAAGTGGAAAGTTCCAGAAAAAAAGAATGGGTATGTTTTAGATGGATGCTTTTACAGAAGCAGGGTGAAATCTCACAGCTTCCTTCCTCAGTCCATCTGGGACACTCATCGTCCGTCTGGCCAGTGGGTCCGTGTTCTGTCTGTTACCTGACCTCTGGCCAGCAGCCATCACAGGTGTCTTGCTATCGTCACCTTGGTGCTTGTGCTCCTGTAGCACTTTATTTTACTTACTAGTGGCTCCTGATATAAGACAGGTGATGTTGGCAATTAGTATATGCCAAAGCGAAGCCATAGAGTGCTTCTTTTAGGTGAGAAGATGATGCAGATTTAATCGGGAAAGGAAAATGGTGTGCTGAGATTGTGACCCTAGGAGTCTTAAAATACATTCTCAGGTAGAGGGAGCCTCTGTACCTCCGAGGTAATGACACAGGTTCTGGAAGGTGCTTATAAAGACGGACAAGACAGAGAACATGTCTTGTTAGATGTCCAGGTTAAAATGAATTTGTTAAATAGTAGTGCAAGTCCTGTAACTGCTCAGGGCTGAATAAACCATACAGGTGGGTGTTAGCGCTGATGCGGAAACAAGCTGTCACCCTGGGGCTGGGACAGGGGTGGCACAGGCCTAGTCTGGATGCGGCTCATGCTTGGCTTAAGGCTTTGCTGTGACCATCTTGAAATTCTTAATTTTTCTTTCTTTCTGGTTTAAAGGAATTTTGAAAATTGACTCATAATTGTAACGTATTCATGTGGTACAATGCAGTATTTCAATATAGGCGTATAGTGTGCAGTCATCAAATCAGGGTAATTAGCATATCCATTACCTCAAATGTGTATAACTTCATTGTGCTAGAAACATGCAAAACCCTCTCTTCTAGCTGTTTGAAATATGTAGCTATACATTCATAGTGCTTGAACAGGGGCCCCACATCTTTCCTTTTCTTTTCGTTTTTATTCTGAGACAGGTTTTATTATGTAGTTCAGGTTGGCCTCCAATTCACAGCCACCCCCTGTCTTAGTGTGCTGGGATCACAGGCGTGTGCCACCAAGCCTGACCCCATGTGTCTTTTCTTTCATGCCAGGGCTTGCACATTATGTAGCTAACCTGACCTGAGTTCTGTGTGGCCAGAAGAAGCTCTGTGGTGTGGTTGTGGGCCCTGGGGCTGGCTGAATGAGGTGGAAAAGAGGAGCTGCCCCGCTGGACTGAAGCTCCAGGATGTGGACATCCTAGTGTCAAGTGTGGTGCGCCACCAAGTACCCGCCCAGGACATGTTTGGGTTGTCAGGGCTGGACCTCTGAATCCTAACCCAAGCCCACTTATAAAGCAGTGAGGTCCTTGGATGAAGTGCACATGGGCTGGGTTGCTCTGTGTGCAGAGGAGCCCGTGAGAGCCTTGACCATAGGGCCTGCGTGGAAAGGCTGCCTGGCCTCGCTCCATGCTCCGGAATTACACTCCTTTCTGGAATGTGCTGGGTGGACACCCCATGGGCCTGCTGGGAAGCCCAGAGGAGAAGAACCCCAGGAAATGGCTCTGTAACTGCAGAAAACCACCGTGCCTAGCACATCCCTTGTGTCAGGGGGTCCTCATTTGGGGTTTGCTAAAGTCCTTGCACTTGGAGCTCACCCTCAGCGGTGTGAGGAGTAGCTGTCTGTTGGAGGAAAGGGACCAAGGGCACCAGGGAAGCAGTGCACCCCACAAATCTCTACTCCCTCTGCTCATGGATAGACTGCGCTTGAATTCCAGGATTCCTCTACTTACCTACACCAACGGCTCCACTTGTGTGGGTCTCTGAAGCGCAGAACTGTTGAGAGGGTCAAGTGCCAGGGTGGTGGCTGGCGCCTGTCAGAGGGTGCTGATGCTCTTATTGATGATGCAGAGGGGTACTTGAAGGGTCAGGGAAGGGAGGCAGTACTAGGGCTAGGCTAGACTATGCCAGCACTAGACAGCCAGGCTGGCAGGGAGCACCCAGCAAGGGCAGAGAGGCAGGAGAGGCTGGTGTGTTTAGAGTGAGCAGAAGAGCGGAGGTGAGGCTGGACACCCCGAAGAGCATGAACCTCCTATGGCTACGCTGTCTTGCCAGCAGAAGGGGACTTTGAGCTGCACACAGTGTAACCCCCATTACTCAGGAGGCCGAGACAGGAGAATCATGAATTCATGGCCAGCCTGGGCAACTTGGTGAGATTGTAGCTGTAAATAGAGTTCTAAAAGGGCCGGGGATTATAGCTCATTGTTCTTTATGTTCAATTCTCAGAGCCACAGAAAAGAAAAAGCAAAAGAGTGAGGGGAAGACGTGGCCTTTGCATTGGAGGTGGCCACGATTTAATGCAGATTGCTTGCCATCTGCTCCATCCCAGAGGCCTGCTGGGACTCTAGACCCGAGCAGGGTTCAGAGATTTCAGGAGGAGGGACCTGGCAGCAGTCGTCCCCTACCCTGGTGTGTGTAACCCACCCGGGACTCTCCTGTTCTGTTCTGCCTTTTGGTCTCTGGCTCTGCTTTCCACTTCTTTCTCTGTAATGAAGGGAAAGATCATAGCCTCTGGCCTAGTGTGGACTCAGCCCACCCCACACCTCCCCCAGGCCTCTCAGCAGAAAGGCCTCAAGCCCAGTTGTTGAGAGAATGCTGTGTGATAAGGTAACTTTCTGAAACTCTCTGGGCCTCAGTTTCCTTAGGAATGTATGTGGTGTAACTCGGAGTTGCTGGGGAGAAAGGAGAGTATGACAGAGGGCCTGCAGGGGACCCTGCCGTGTGTCCTTGTCAGTGTGAGCAGGGTCAGGAAACACTCTGTGGACGAGGAAGGCCTATGGCGGAGTGGCCCTGGCTCCAAGTCTCCAGGCAGGTTGCCTTGTGCTGCCCTGTGGATTGTTTCAGGGTCTGGCTGGCTTAGGATACAGGGCGGTGGGTAGTTTGTGCAAAGTGCAAAGTGACCTAGGCATGTGACAATTAAAATAGCTCTCATTTACCCGAGCTGTGCCCTGGTGTCCTCAGGGCTTCCTGTGCTCTGGGAGTCCCTAAACGCACCATCAGGTGTGCGTTGTCACTATGCCCATCCTGTGGAAGAGCACACAGAGTCAGCATTGCCCACATGTGCTCCCCGACAGCCCAGAGTCCCATGGTCTGTCGCTGGGCACTTCCTGCTTCCTCCTGAGACCCCAGGACCCCTGGCCTATCTGTGTGAGCCCTGTCCTGTGTGCCTCCACCTGCCTGCTCTGACCATCACCACACGTGTGGGAAGCACTGACCTCCAGGCCTGCCTCCCTGTCCTTGGGATGGGACCGCAGCCCCACCTATTCCACAGAGGTCACTGTGTCTGCAGGTGTTTGGGAAACACCACTTTCCTCCCCAATCCACTTGTCTCTGTTTATTCAGGACATGGCAAACATTTTACTGACATCCAATTGGAAAAGAAAACAAAGCCAGGAGTCTGAATGTTCGTACATTTCAAATATATTTTATTACTTTTCGTCTTAGAAAGAATAAGAAATCTGCATGCAACGCTAATGATCTCTGACATTTACACAGCGTATAACACAGCAGGACGGTGCAGCCTCTAGGGAAGGCAGCCTGTGGGGGGCGCTCTGCAGAAGGTATGTACAAAGGAGAAGGTGTTCAGTCATCCCAGCTTTCAGACCAGGACACCTTTTTCCCTGTGAGCTGTTTGGGGAGTCACAAGTGTACCCCTGTTTAGTACCACACGTTCCACTGTGGGGAGGGAGAGAAACACACTTCAAAGGTTTCCCCTTGTTAACAGGTCGTGTGTGTCCAGTTGCGTGTCGTGTACGTATGTTTTAATTTTTGCTAAGTCTTTCACTAACAGTGGTAGGAACTCCACACACTTCTGAAGCGTCACAAAGTGAAGCTGTGAACCTCTCAGAATTCCTCAGGTTGGAAAAAAGACCCAGCACTTTCTTTAGGGGTCACTTGCCTCACCCCCACAGGATCTTGGAAATGTTTCCTAGACTGAAAAAAATGAACCGGAGGAATAAAGCACATTTCTCTGGCAACTACACTGAGTTCTTCCAAGCACAGATGCAGAGAGACCTGCTCCTGCTTGCCCAGCGACAGGGGCCACTGCGCAGTCACACTGAGGCTGGGAACGACCATGAGCCCAGGGGAACCTGGCAGCTGTGCAGGAGGCCCAGGCCCTCTGGGCGGAAGCTTCCCAAGCTAGGACTGGAGCAATGCTGCAGCGAAACGTCTTAACCAAGCTCATTGTTCCTCCTGGGCGCTTATAAAGCTCAGGTGTGTATCAGTGTATGAACAAATACAAAAAGCATTTTTTTTTTTTTTAAAGAAAAGGCATGAGTTTCCCCCCCGTTTTCAGCAAAAAGCTGCCTGTGTTGATGTCTGGAGCGCAGGAGAGCTGGGTCTCACATCTGGAAGCCTTTCGCACACAGCTATAAAATGTAAAAACTGACCCTGGGTAAAAAGTGCTTCATAACAATATATAATTTGTGTCTGATGCCTGTGAGAAAGAAAGGTTTTTTATTTAACCAGCAAAGTCCTTTGCTCACGTCTCCAAACTGGGCTGGACTTTCCGTCAGAGACTTTCCACCCTATTCTTCATAGACCCTGGGAAGAGAAAGCACAGGTGTCAGAGGCTCAGGACTGATGCTGGCTGCTCCTGGCTGCTGGCTGAGTGGCTCCATTTAGCCTGCAGGGTGTACACTTCCGCTGGGGAAGAGGGAGGGACATTTCTGGGGACATGATTGTGATCACAAGGGTCACAAAAGCTCACATGTCTGGCTTTGCCCTTTCAGATCAGCTTTCGCTTCTACAATCCCATCTTTCCCTCAAGACCCTATGGACACACCGTCTGGTGTGTGGGGAAACTGAGGCTTATGAGACCTAAGATGTGCCTGATGACCATGGACGGCCATTGAAGGGACAGAATCCTCTCCGGCATGGTGTCGCTTCCTGCCTCCACTCACCTCCACTGAGCCCCTCCTGTCGGAGAGGATAGCTAAGGGGCAGTATGTTCTCTCTAGAGGGGGGCTTAGCCTCCTGCAAACCAGCTCTAGAAGCCCGAGGACTGAGGAGGAGCTGGCAGGGCTGGGGCTCTGAGAGAGGGGTCTGTGTCCCCAAGGACTTCCCTCACTTCTGCTAGTTATAAGGCATCATGGGGCACCGTTCCCTCCACCTCCCAAGCTGGCTCCTCTTCGGTTTTTAATTCTTTTCTAGTTCTGGCTCGTGGCTGCCCTAGGTCTGACAGCCCACCATTCCCTCTCCTTACTCTTGATTTCTGAGACCACCAGATTATGCATTCAAGTAGAAAGATGTGGCTGCCTCCTGTGGCAGCCAGAAGCACTGATCTCTGAGATGCTCTGAACTCCCTGGTCCAGCCCCACAGGACTGCCCCTGCCCCCAAGAGGAAGGGGATTTCTGAGAATTCCTTTGTCTCCCCTTTACATTCACTGAGACACTTTTGTCTGTCTACAGGGGAGCAGTAGAGAGAGCAAGGACATGCCCCTTCCTCTCAGCATGGCTCAGCACCCAAACCAGGAGGAGGAGCTCCTGGCATGAAGAAGTGAGGGCAGGTCTGTGACCAAGGATTGTGGAAGTGGAGAGGCCGGGCTGCATTCAGACTCCCGGGCGCCCCCTTGTGTTCCGAGCCCCACTGCAGGTGCAGGCGAGTGGGGAGCGAAGTGGACACAGGTTTGAGTGTCTCCGTCAGCTAGCTCTGGGTCAGTTCATTCCATTTTTGATGACACAGGGCTTAGAGGGTGGCAGAGAGCAGAAAGTACGGGTCCTGTTTTTGTCACGTGAGCTCTGCCCTAACTGGAAAGAGGGTGCCATTCTCATCAGATATATAGAAAATAGTCTCTCACCCTCATCACTTTCTATTTCAGGCAACTGCAAACAGGGCAGTTTCAGAAGCGGCAAAAGCGGGCTCAGGTGCAGGAGCTGTGGGAAATTTGGTCACAGGCTGAGCCAGAGGGGATGGTGTCCGGCCAGGTGGCAGGAAGGGCAGCCCAGTCACCCACTGCGGCTGATCCTCACCCCTGGGGGCCTGGCTTCCTGCCCTGTCTCTGTCCTGTGCTCCCAGAGAGTTACTCTCCTCCCCGGTCTCACCATGGTGTCCTAGCATGGGCTCCTGGGGAGTCTCCTGAGTGTGCCTGCTTCCCTGGCTGTGCTGTGCAGGAAAGGTGACAGCAGACTGCATGCAGAAGGAAGGGCCATTTCCAGGACAGTTCACCTTTATATGGTACAGGCAATCAGGAAGTGACCCTCTCCCAGGTCCAGACCTGGATGCCAGGCGATCAGAGCTGGAATTTCTGACTACTAGGAAACAGAGCCCCAGGCACACTGGGCTTTGGTCCACGGCATGGTAGTCTCAACCCTATTCTCTGCATTGAGTAAGAGTGGTGTTGGTTTAGAGGATCTGATCCAAGGCCCCTTCTAGCACCTGTGTGGAAAGGAACTCATTCCCTGAGCGTCATGGGGCATCCAAGAGAGGATGGCTTGGCAGAGTTACCCTCCTCATCTTGTCAGTGCACCCATAGTTTTAGGGTTAACATAGGCATTTAAGGCATCACATTTCACCCTGCAAAATCCACAAGGGATAGCGAGGCCATGGGCTCACCCAGCCATTTGGTGACTTTTTAAAAAACAGCAAGTAAGACTATAGTATGAAAGTTATAATGAAACAGTCCTTGGGTCACTCACAAAGAGATCAAGCTTTAATATGTGTAGCTGTCTAAGAGAGCAGCGCTTGCTTTGTTACTTGGTGAGTTTCCCATGGCTGGGGTCTGAAGGCAGTGTCTGGTTAGCTGCTAGCTGTGGCTCTTGTGGGGGGGGTTCGCATATTAAATGGGGTTAGGTGACCTGGTAGGGGGACCCTTGCCATGCTGAGAGCTTCAGCCTGCTCCGGAGGAGGGGAGGAGGGAGGAGGAAGTGGGGAGGAGGGAGGGCGGAAGGGAGGAGGTAGGAGGAAGTGGGGAGGAGGGAGGGCGGCAGGGGGGAGGAGGGCATACCTGCGCTTCTCGTTCCAGGCATTGTACCACTTGATGAAGCGCTTGGTGCTCTGCAGCTTGGGGTGCAAGCAGTGCTCCTGGCCACGGTACCTGGACATACTCTTGGTGGTGATGCTGAAGTGGAGTGGGATGAGGTCAGGGTTGAGGTGCAGAAAAACAGCCCCTCACGGCCTCCCCCTCCGAGAAGGCAGCTGCTCCATGTGCTCCCTCCCTGGCCATCTTTGTGGGAGGCCCACTGTCCCCTAATCTCTGACTAACCCTCTATGGAGTGAGGGGCCTCCCTTTTCCCCTTGGAGCCACTGGTGTCTGGGACAGTGTCCCCTAGGCCTACTGCACCCCAGCAGTGTTGTTTCCAGGGCTTAAGGCTCTTAGGGGATTCTTCTAGGGATGCAGAGGTGTGTGTGTGTGTGTGTGTGTGTGTGTCAAGGGCTCTGCCCTTGGGTTTCAGAAGCCACCATGGGGGTGAGACTCACCCTACAGACACTGAGCCCTCAACCCTAGCTCCCCCTCCTGCTGCCCATTGTCTCAGGGTTGGGCATTTGCTGATCCCAAAGCAAAATCTTGGCCTTGAAGCGTGTGTTGATGCTTGAGTGTGAAGTTCTAGTTATCTCCCCTTTAGGCAGAGAAATAAGATATTCCTTCTTCATGGCTCAAAGATCTCAGGCATCTATCAGCCTGTTCCAATACCAGGTAGATTCGTCACTGTGTAGTAGGTAAGCGTGATGACCTTGTACAGAGTGCAGGGACCTAGGTCTGAACTCCATGTTTGTCTGGGACCTCAAATAACCATTCTCAATCTGCCTGCCAATCTGTAAAATGGGTATAATAAGACCTACTTCAAAGGGTTATTGACATGATGAAAGAACCATTCACAGATTATGTGCAGTGCCTGGTAGAGGCCCAACTGAATGGTTACTGTTATTAGTCGTTGATCATGGCAGATGAGATAACTGAGGAGAAAGGTAAGTCTTAGTGTGTGAGTTCTAGCCTGGAGGGGAGGTGAGCTGCTCAGAAGTGCTGCTGCCTCTCTCCTAGCTAGTGCTGACCAGAAGGATCGCGGGAGTTAGGAGGAAGGATCGAGGACCACCTATAGCACAGGGGGAATGCCAAAGTTAGAGGAGAAGATGGCCTCTCCTGAGGGTCTTAGAAGGGCAGGTATAGGTGAGAGGGAAGAAGGGGCAGTGAGACAGAGGCCAGCTAGTCCTTCAGGCTGCCCCAGACAAGTGTCAGAGCTCAAGACCCAGTTCTAGCTAGAGGGGGGCCAGGTTGCAGTGAGCACAGTCTCCCAATCCATGGGGGAGATAAAATGGGATCTTGCCACCAGAATAGGGGTAGAATGTTTCTAGATGACCTGCTCTCTTCTCATGTGCTCAGAGATTTTGGGGTCCCCACCAGAGCCTGAGCAACCTGGGAAAGGGATCTTCACTGCCTCCCCTGGAGACATAGCTCTTTCCAGAGCTTGGGTGTAGAGCCAACTTTAGAATGAATCTAGCTCTTTCCTCCCCTGGGTACCCAGTCACCCTCAGGCATCCACCTTGGGGACTTCACTCTGGCCCTGCAATGCTACTCTTGCATTTTGAGCCAAAGGACATGGCAAAGCCTGATGAAAATCCCTTCTCAGTTAGGTCAACGTGCAGGCTGAGCATCTCAAATCCTGAAGGTCAGGGAGAGCAGAAAAGTGCTCAGCTTTCCAACCATGGTGCTCAAATTTTGCATCACAAAACTGAGATTATGAAGATTCATGATTTCAGCAACTATCAGAAATTCTGAGTCCAGTGCCCCTCTCCTCAGTTCTGTGGTGCTGAGGGTTTTGAGGAAAACTCAGGGACATTTGACAAATTTCACTTTCTAGAATTTGGACCCTTCGGGATTCTTTTGGGTGCAAGGCCTCCTACTTGCAAGGATACTCTGCTGCCCCACCCCCAGCTGCAGCAGAGATGTCTGGGTGACTCAGGGTGAGCTGGAAAACTTGCTTTTGTTCAGCTTTTGTGGCTGAAAATCTGCTTTGGCAAAAAGTGCTGGCCCCTTGTCTGATCTCGAAAGTCTGAGGAACACAGGAAGGGAGAGGAGCCTCCAGCTCTTGGGGGTGGGTGTGCGTGTGTGTAGGGGTTCTCTGTGAGTGGGGGAGGGGAAGGAGAGGGTGACCGGGCACCCAGCTCACAAGGCTGCAGGCTCCCTTCTAATGCATTTGTTTAGCTATTGCTTCCCCCTGTAACCAGAGATGTTTAGCTAGAAAAGTTTCTGCTGAGGGATTCTGTCCTTGTGAGATGCCTCTACACCCCATACCCTGCTTCTGTCCCCTGCATGGCCTGAAAAACAACTTCCGATGTTCCCTGCTATTTTAAATCCCCAAGCTCTGAGGGGCTCATGGCCCCTCCTCTAGATTTCTTGACTCCCAGCCCCCACCTAAACAGATTTTGGGGCAGTTTTGTGGACTTGTTCTGCAAAGCAAGAGACAAAGGTGAGGGGGTTAATTAAGAAGCCTCAGAAGGGTGAGTGATGCAGCAGCTCAGGTCCAGGCTTTTTGAATTTCACTCACCTCATCCTGCAGCCCAGGTGGTAGGTAGAAGGGTGTGGGGAGCAGGGTACTGGTGCGCCCCACCTTTGCAGACACTGTGTGGAGGCCTTTAGACAGCAGGGCCAGCCTGCGGAGAGCACTTGCCCAGACTGAGAATAAAGTGTGTCCTGTTTAGGGGGGAGGGGAAGAGGGACCAATGGTCCATGGCAAATATTTGGGAGCTGCTTTGCCAAGAGCTCCCATCCCAGCCAAGAGAGTATTGCTGGGGAAACTGTGGTGCTGGCCTCAAGTGGTTAATTGGGAAGGCAGAGGAGCGCGCAGGGAGACTCAGTGTTCTCTCGCTCTGCCCCAGTTTATAAAACATTGCCGGCATCACCACCAGCAGGGCTAAGGTCCATGGTGCGTTAACCCCACTAGAGCGCTTTCTGCAGGACTGCAGGGGCTTGGGAACCCGTAAGGAGTCCAGCTGCTGAAGGGAGAGCCAGGTGTTATAGTGAAATCCCTAAAAGCCAAAAACTAGCCATCCGAGCGGACAGCCCCTGATTACACAAATGCTCTGAGAGGAAAGTTGGATTTAAAGTTTGCGTTACTGCTCTCTTTGGCGCAAGAAGGCCGCATGCCCATTGCTTGGAGGTGAGTGTGCTTTGAATCATTTCAATCTAGGTGTTCTAGCCATTGATTCTTGATTGCCCTACCCGCTCTGGGCAGCCCAAGGAGCAAATACCGGGGCTGCCTACTGGAGTTCTAGCCAGAGGAGACTCGGAGGTGCTCTTCCCGGGGAGCCCAGACAGACCTCCTTTGGCAGCTGTCGCGCTAGCGTCCTAAAGACTTGCTGGACAATTACAAAGTTCCGCCAAGGATTTAATAAAGGTGAAGAGAAGCGTTAGCCTGACCCAAGCCCAGGCTGACCCTCCACTCGGGACACCCTCGCGGTGAGGCGCAAGAACTCACATAACCATCTTTTCTTCGCAGTGTGGGTACTTTGGCTTCATTTCCAGCTTCTTCACATCACTGTAGCGGATCTTAGGGCCCTTCCGGGAGCACTTGCATTTGGATCCTATGGGAGAGGGCACCGGGGCTGCTTTGTTGTGCCGGGGTCTCCCGCTCTCCGTCCGCCTTTGGAGCCCACCCAGACCTCCCTGGATCCCAGGATGGCTAATAGCCGGTGTTTGGGTTTTCCGGGATGGGATCAGACGGCACAAAGGAACCTCCCAGCACTCACCCTCCAGGCGCGAGGCGCACAGTGCCAGGAGCAGCAGGAGCAGCGCGGCCGCCAGGAGCCTCATGCTGATCAGAGGGGTGCAGCTCAGGAACGGGGACACAGGGACTGCGCGGTGTGGCGTCCGGGGACGCCGCCGGGGTCGGACCCGTCAGCTCAGAGCACGTCTCCCGCCTCAGCTGGCTGCCGCGGCGCCGTCGGTGGGTGTCGGGCGCTGTCTGTCGCCGCGCGCTGGCTTTGCGCTCTGCTCTGCGATCACTCCACGTCTTCCCTCCGCCAGCCCTGGCCTCTTTTAAATCAGCTCCTGCCCTCGCAGCGAGCGAGCTCATTAATATGCAGAACCACTCGGTGACTCACTGAGATTTCTCAATGTGGTGGGGGGAGGAGACCTTCCCAGCCCGCCTGCCGCCGGCCTCGGGACTGGGACTGGATCGAGATCGAGATCTAGCGCCTCACAGTTAGAGCCGCGCGCGCCACACACTCACAGGCTCACATCTGCTACTCTCTGGCGCTCCTAACTCACTCTCCTCCATACACTTGCACACGCAACCCACAGCCCGCACACTCTTCTAGGGCAGCTGCTCTGCCTTGGGGAGGCCGGGAAGGGCAAGAAGCCGCCAGAGTATTGCTGCTCTGATTCTGGTGGATCCCACTCCAGCCAGACAGGACTATTGTTCTGAGCCCCCTGGAGACCCAGGCAGGGGCCCAGATCCTTGAGAGAAGACCTGAAAGAATTTTGGAGCAAGTGCCAAGTGTGACTGCCAGCAGACCTGACCCCTAGGCCTGCCTGTTAGGTCAGCAGCGCTGGTGGCCAGGGCATAGGCCCGGTCTGGATAGGCGATTGCCATCCAGATGGGCCCCAGCAAAGCCACCGCCTACCGTCACTGAACTGACACAGACCGGCTGGGGGCACTCCTAGAGAAGGCTCCCTGAAGTGAGTCTGTGGCCCTCTAGGGGTTGAGAGAATCTGGGCACTCCTCACTTCTGTACTGTTCTCCCAAGCCAAGCAGGGACCCCTTGGGGAGCCACAACAATAGTAACCATCTGAATGAAGGCCCTCTTGTGTTCCAGAGATGCTGTGGGGCTGCAGAGTGTGGTGGTGTCAGGCCAGCCTGGGGCCAGACGTTCCCACCTCGTTCCTAACTAGCACAAGTGACTTCATCATGCAAAGTCTTCCTTTCATTAGCTGTAAAGTCTCAGTAGCCACAGTGCCTGTTGCAGTGCGGCGTGCGAAGTCCAAATTAGTACACGCATGAAGTACCGCAGTTGATGGGGTGTCTGATGCATAGTGCCCAGGAAACATTACAGATTGGCATCACTGGTATATATATATTACATAGCATTAGAATGCCACTGCCAAGTTGGTGAATTTAATCTCTTTAAAACAGGTGCGAGAGAAGCAGCAATTTACCCAAGGTTATGGAGGCCAGAAGCAAGGGACTAGGCCCAGAGAGTCCCTGTGCATGTGTCGCTAGAACTGGAACCCTGCTTGTAGTCCAATCTCTGGCCTTCCTGCCTGTCCAGCTTTCACTTAGCAGTGAAGTGAGACTTAGCACCTTCTTGAGAGACAGGAGACAGCAGCAGGCAGAACAGCTGGGGCTTGGGGGGGCCTGGGCTTGGTTTCCAGGCCAGAGCTTGCCCAGCTCTGTGCTGTCAACCTGGCAGTGCTCTGGGCGTGCAAGTGTGTGTGTGTGTGTGTGTGTAGGGGGCCTTCTGGGGAGAAGGGGACAGTTTGCTAAGGTACCAGCTATGAATATCTGCACTGTCTCCTCCTAGCATGAGCATGTTTACTGCCACAGGCAGGGGAAGCTGATCTCTGAGGAACAAGCTGAGCCCATGGCCATGGTTAGGTTTGTTCTCGAAGCCAGGCTGGCAGCTGGACGTTTGCATTCAGCAGGAGATGAGCGCAAAGGAATGAGTTTTTAGGCATTTATGGTAACTTTTAAATTAAAAGTTAATTTCTCAATACCAAATAGCACGTCTGTTACATAAATATAAGAAAATATGAGCAGAAAGGAATATAAAAGATGCAAACACTCAGAGGTCTAAACCACAATGACAGCAGCGGTAGCCTTCCAAACCCTTCCCTCCTGGCTTTGTGCACAGATCAGATCAGGCTACATGTGCTGTTTATTAACCTGCTTATTACACCAACCAGTGTGCCACAGGTGTCCTCTCATGTGGTCAGTCTTGCTCCTACCATTTCTCTCTTAAAAGCGTGGTGTAATGGCCAAGAGGATGGGGACTGGCCTCAGATTGTGTAGATGTGAGTCTTAGCTATTAGTGGTATGACTTTGGGCTAGTAATTCTTTTAGGCCTATCTGTTTTCATCTGTGAGATGGGTGTGATTAATGGTTCCTCAGGCATAGGGGGAATTAAATGACATGACACATGTCAGGCTTTTAAGATGGGTAGCAGAATAGAGTAAGCATCCAGTCAGTGCTGACTGTGGCTACCATGATTTGTATCCCATCGCACTGATCACCATAGTTAATTTCACTGGTTACTCTCTGCCTGACATTTGGATTATTTTCAACAGTTCTGTGGGACAGATGTTCTTGTGGCTCAGTTGTTGGATAGTTTCTTAAATATTGGATATGGTCTTAGAATCTCTAGGCTATGCCTGTTTTAGCAATATTAATTGCTAAACTATCCTTCATAAGGTTCCACAAGCATGTGAAATATTTTTTAATGAAATTTTATTTTTAACATCCATGTTTCAATAATATGTTGTTTAATTATGTGAGATCCAATAAAACCAGGGAACCTGGGTGCTGAGTGTGCATTTGAAATAGTAGGTCCTAAAAATAGGGACTAAAGTTTCCTGTTTCCTGGGCTGGACCAGAGGTTAGAGATGCCAGTTTTACTCCTCAGTCAGTCTGTGTGTGCAGATCTTTGTTTTACAAAACACAGATGTTGTATCTTGGCAAACAGCTGTCTCTGTTCATGTGAGTGCTTCTGAAGGCAGAGTAAAGGAAAAGACAGGGTTTCCCGCTGCCAGCAGGTCCATAAGTGGTGCTGCCCAGCTGGGCAATGGAGGGTGCTTGCCTCTGTTGTACTTTCAGGGTGCAGACTCTCCTGAGCCCAAACTGGGGGCCTGAGTAGGTGTGAAGACAGGCTGAGGTGGGCGCTGGGAAGCACTTCTTTGCACACTAGCATTGCTGCCTTGAGGAGTTCTCCAGGGTGCTGTGAAGGACAGTGCATATGGCCTTCTCCTGGAGGGCAGTGTGCTGTGTGTGTGTGCATGCAGGGGCCTGCAGCCTGACAAAGGTGTGGGGTGCAAGGGAAGGAGGAAGGAGAAACAGGACCGTCAACAGGGAAACTGGGCTGAGCTACTGGGCGCTTGCTTATCTCTTCTGTCCATACTCAGTGAGCTCCTGCTGAATGCCAGGTGCTTTGCAAGTTGCAGGGAAATTCAGATAAGCAGAGGAGATATGCCTTTCTCCCCAAAATTGACATCAACCCACAACTGTGAGGATAACTGTGGAAGTCCCACAGAGGTAAGTGTGATAGAGGAAGCTGGCCCCCTAAGGCGCATGAGGGGGTTTGGCAGGGCAGACTGAGGACAGCTTCCTGAAGGGAGTGACCGCTGGGTTGACTATAAAAGGTGAGAAGCAGTTAATGGGATAACCACCTGGCAGGGAGGCCACTGCTGCCCTTTATAGCCTCTGCCGCTCACACATGGATCACCTGTGGGAACTCCCTATTCCAGCCCCTCCTTGGATCCTGATCTCACCTGGAGTCCAAGGCAAGTCCCCACAGTGCCTACCCTTGGCTGATACCTGTCATCTTCCCCACTGCCTGAGCGTGGCCACACTGCCTCATCTTATCCCTTAGACCTGCAATTGTTGCTATCTCAGGAGCTCTGTGCTCCTCAGTCCCTCTGCCAGCACTGCTCTGTTCCACGTCTGCAGGAAGCCCTCTCTTTACTGAGCCTCTGTACCTGTATCCACTTTTCAGACCCAAGCATTCTAGCTGCCCCCAACAGCTGTCACCCCCCAAACAGGGATTGAACGTAGGGCCTTGTGCATGCCAGGAAAGAGCTTCACCACTGAGCTAAACCCCCAAGCCTGGGTCTCCTTAAATTGCCCAGGCTGGCCTTGAACTTGTGATCTTCCTACTGCCATGCCTGGCAATACTCACTCTCTTTAGGCCTTAATCTACTTCCCTTCATTCATTTAACACACAACCTCTTCAGACTGTGCTGCTTTCACATTTATTTGGGGATGTATCTTGGGAGATTCTCTGGTTTGTGGGGTCCTCATCCCCCGCTGCGTACAGCCATGTATTTTCCTCTCTTTTGGGTAAGTAGGACATGTTTCAGGCAAAAGCCCAGTCATGTGAAAGAACCAGGCTGTGCAGATTGTACGGACACAGACTGTAAGGTCATGTGGGAATATGTTTATATGCATGAGAGTGGCTGTGGGAAGAGGTGGTCATGGCAGACTATCTTCCTAGAGAAGCGGTTCCTCTCTGGAGCATAGCATTTGCTTTAGCAAAACAGTGGCTGGGAGGAGGAATCAGAAGGAGGACAGGTAGGATTTGTTCTACCATTTTTCACTCAATAGTACCTCCTTGAATCTTTACTAGATAAAGAGCACAAGCCAAAACACTTTTCAGAAAGGACAGCTGGGGGGAAAATGTGAAGAGAAATCATTATTAGCTAATTCACAAAAAGAATGTGCACCTTTATTAGCAATCAAAGAAAAGCACACTAATACTGCAGCATCAAGGTGGTTTGGTTTTGGTCCTAACCAATAAGGAATGATTTAAATACTAATAAAGTGATACTGGTCAAATGAAGAAAGACCACTTGAGCATCATGTTGGGACCATCAATCAATGCAAGCTTTTGGGAAATTATAGTATATATTCAACTTGTCTGAAGTAGACCATTTCACCCCATTAGTTAACTTCAGGAAATCTATTTAAAGTTCTATAACAGAGAGATCGTTGTTAAAAATAAAGCACTACTATATATGTAAACCACAAGGGATTAAATAGACAATGAAAAAAAAAATAAATGAAATACTATGTTGGTATGAAGACCGGTAGTGATTGTGGAATAGAATACTGTGCAATCAGTGCTTGTAAAGCAATAACTAAGAGGACAGTGATTACCAGTGTGTCAACCAGTACCTCTGTGTAAAATGTAACAGAAAGGGATCCAAATATTTTCCTAGTGGTAAAACACTGGCCATCACTGAAAAGGCTCTGTCCGGGCTTTCTAATTTATGAGAATGTTCCTCTGATAGAGCATCAATTCAGTGAAGTCGTGGGCAGACTTCAGCTCCATTTGGCAGACCCTGGGGGTGGTGACAGGTGCCTGAGTCAGACGT